TTTCGTTTGTCTGTTAGGACAATAGAAGCGATAACCTTTTGACTTTTCTGGATAGCCAATGAAATGGCAACTCAGTGTCTTGGAGTCTAGCTTCCCTATGTTTGGGTTAAAAACTTTTGCCTCGGCTGGACAACCCCACACACGTAAATAGTTAAGTGAGGGTTCCTTTTTTGTCCACAACTCATACGATATTTTGGGCACCGACTTGCTTGGCACTCGATTAAAAATATGAATGATGGTTTTTAATGTCTCCATCCATAAACTTGTCGGTAGGGTAGAGTTGTTTATCATGCTTCTCACCATATCTATTAAGGTACGGTTGCATCTTTCAGCTACTTCATTCTGCTAAGGCTCGCCCGGTGTAGAATACTGGGCAACTATGCCATTTTCCTGTAAGAACCTTGCAAAGGGTCCAGGAACTTGACCATATGGGGTGTGTTGACCGTAGTACTCTCCCCCACGGTCAGACCTTACTACCTTAATCTTTAAGTTGTGCTGATTTTCTACTTCAGCCTTGAATATCATAAATTTATCCAATGATTCTGATCTTTCCTTAATTGGATAAATATAGCCAAATCGAGAATAATCATCTGTGAATGTTATAAATGAATCATAACCATCCACACTCTTCACAGAAAAAGGACCATAGATGTCTGTGTAAACTATTTCTAAAATTCCTGCGCTTCGTTTGGCATCTTTCTTTATTTTCTTAACATACTTTCCTTTTATGCAATCAATGCATTGTTCTAAATCTGAAAATTATAAAGACGTAAGAATTGATTTCTTAATCAATCGCTCTATTCTCCCCCTCGAAATATGGCCTAAACGATAGTGCCATAATTTCGAAGATACATCATGCACTCTCTTTCGCTTATTTGTTGCATTCATAGATGAGGAAGCATTCTCATTCTCAGTGCTCATAGCATTCATATTTTCAGAAAGTGATAATAAATAAATCTTGTCTTATCGGAAGGCAAGACCAACACACTTATTATTAATCACAATCTGACATTTTCCAACGAGCAGCAGCGACGAACTGGACATGGGGACATTTCTGCCTGAACTAGTATAATCCTCGTGTCCTCTAAGCACACTATCCGAGCCAGACACGCAATGCTAGAAATTTACTCATTGGTGGTAACTCGAAATACCGACAACTACGCACGCGCGCGCAGCTCCTCACCCGCACCTAGGCCGCAACCTGGGCCTGGGCCAGGATTTCCCGCGCCCGCCTGGGCCTAATCTAGGTCCAACGAATCACAGCCGTTGCTCACGATCGGACGGCCAGGCGATGTTTGCGTGAGAACAAAACGCCCCACCACGGCGCGGGCACCCTAACCCTAAGTCATTCTTGCCTCCCTCCATCTCCTCTCCTCAGCGCAGTCGGAAGAGAAAAGAGAGAGCAACACAGCGGCGCCGCTGCCGGTCCCCTCGTCGGCGCGCGCGCTCGCCCTAGGCTGAGTGCGCCGCCGTCGAGCGGTCTAAGCGACGGTGCCCTCATCCCCCATACGCGCTGCGGTGGAGCATGACCCCAAAAACCCTAGATTTTACCGGCGCCGCCGTAGGTCCCTTCGTCGGAGCGCGCGCTCCCTAGTGGTTGAGTGCGCCGCCATCAAGCGGTCCTGTGACGGTGCCCTCGGCCGGGCTCGCGCGCACGGCGGCAAGCGCGGCTCGGCTTCTCGCCGCGCGCCGACGAGGCGGCGGCGGAGCTCCTTCCCGCGCGACGATGGGATTTTACCCGCGCGATGGCGGTGGTGACGCGCGGCGGAGAGTCCGGGTAGGTCCTCCCCTCCTTCGTCCTTACTCTAGGGTTAGGGTTTCGGGTTGGGGTCCGATCCTTTTCTTCAAATCGAACCCTGTCCTTCTACTCTTCTACTTGGTTTTCTACCCCGATGAGCTAGATCTACACCTTGTTAGGATCTGATATCATTGATAGATTAACATGATCATCTAGCCATAGATCCAGCATACATACTGACATCTGATTGAATAGCAAACCTTAGAACATGCTAGTGCGAGAAAGAGAGAGAGAGAGTTACGGAGGTGCAAACCATCGACCGCCTTCGTAGAAGACGAGCTTGTCATGAGGTGCTTGTCGGTGGCGCGGTGACGTCTAGCGGTGAAGTCGCGGACGCAGTGTCGGCGGTGGCCGGTGGCGGTCTTTTCATCGATGGCAACGCCCCCTCACTAGATCGGCTTTAGGGTTTAGGGACTGTAGGTGGGGCGTCTGACGGCTCAGGTGATTCTCGTGCCTTGTGCTCCGGTCCCCACCTCCCTTTTTATGGCGCTGTGCGACGGAGGCCCACCAACTATGTAGCGGTTGGGCGTCTCTGATCAGGGCACGGATCCAAAGACCCAATTAACCGTTGGACCAATTGGTGGAGATCAATCTAGCAAAACCAGCTTTTCCCGGTCTGGTTGGCTGCACTGAAGTCATCCACCGAATGGGCCGGCGGGAAGCTCGTGTCAATATATTATTATGTCCAATCCTAGCCTGTTCGTTTGGCTGTGGCTTGTCGTAAACGATCGTAAATTTTCAGCCGGAACAGTATTTTTCTCTCACACAAACCCAATCAAGATCTCTTCATGAACCAAAGATGCCAACCAAACTGCTCTTTCATTTGATCTCGTATGCCAATCTGCTCATATTTGTTTCGCTGCTTAATTGTTCTGCAACGCTTTCGACCTTTGCTTAGTACTTACATTGAACAAAACACAGGCTAAGGGACAGGTAATACAATCCTCATTAGTCTCCTTAGTATCATCAATTGCAACCAAGAGTTAGGGGAAGGTAATTGATTCAGGAAAGATTACCATGTCTTGACTTCATTACATATAATGGCTCATGTCGTAGATCAAATACTAATATGCAAGGTTACTGATCGTCTAATTTGGCTCAATTTAACATTAGTGAGCTAAGTAATGGTACAAGTGTACAACACACATGTAGACTTGAATCATTTTAGTCTTTTTCCTCGCAACGCACGGGCTTTAATCTAGTAACCAAATAAATGTTTTGTGTTATAATACAAAAGAAACTAAAAACTAGAAAAATATAAATTATTTTAGAGAAAAAAGAAACAAAATTGATTAGTCCTAGGTCTCTAACGCTTAACTGACGTTCAATCTAGTTCACTAGAAAAAGAATCACAACAATAACAGGAACTAATCCTAAATAATATAGATGTTATTGGAGATCAATTCAGGAGGAGGGTAAACAAGAAAACACTAATTATATTTAACTAGTTAATTAGAGGGTTGTTATAGGAACAAAAGAGATGAAGAAAATAATAGAAAGACTAATTTTTTAATTATATAAGATGCTATAAGAGATTAATATGGAAGAGGACAAGAAATCAAAGTACAAATAACATCATTAACTAGTTAATTAAAGTATCACATAGCAAATAAATATATATGGTAAGAATTTTATTATATATTTCTTAATATAAATATCGAGTAAAAATGTGTTTGTGTTGGCCCAGCCCCTCGTTGGCTCCGCCCCTGGGTGGGTCAAACCGCTCAACCCCACTGAACCAACCTGGACCAAACCGTGTATGGAGGACGTGAACAGGTTGGGCCCGAGCGGTTTGAAACCAACAAACCCGACATTAGTCTTGCAGCCAATGAAATTTCCCATTTGTTAAGTACGATCTACGAATAGAGAGGGAGCTTTGGGCATGCAAAACTTCAGTAGAATACCCAACTGAGATGGCGCTTGAAGATGGAGCGCGTTACTAGGTGGAGAGCGAGCCCAAGGGAGCAAATCAACGAAGGGCAGTCGACATCTGCGTCAAGAAGGTCGAAGATTTTGCATTCGGTAGCAGGATGGTAGCAGCGGCGCTAGCATCCAACACCACTATACCAGAGGTTGAAGATGACCTTGATGTTATTGGACTAGCTCCTTGATCATTGATATGGCCCACATGCACTTACCAGCTGAGCGGATAACATCCTGATTGTTCAACCTGTCCAACCCATCTAAGGGTATGCTTTATCCAACACCACTATACCTCGGTTTTTGACCTTGATGTTATTGGACTAGCTCCTTGATCATTGATATGGCCCACATGCAGCTAGGTCTGTTTAGGAAAATATTTCAGAGGCTCTTTGTTTTTTAGTTTTGATCTAAGTGTTAGCTTCCCATATCTATAGAGCTAGGGTAAAATTCAGAGCTGCTTCATCTTTTTTTTTTTTTAGCTTTGCTAGGCTTATCAGCCTTGAGCTACCCCACAAGGATAACATCGGAAGATTGTTCAACCAGTCTGAACCCATCTAAGGGTCTATTTAAACTGCTTTTGTTCCTCGCTGAACCGTGCTTTTCAGCCTATAGAGCTAGGGTCTATTTAGGGCTACTTCGCTCCTCATGTTTTAGTTTGCGGACGGCACGTCGTGAGCGAGCTAGAGTCTGTTTTTTGCTTCAGTTTTTTTTAAAAGAAAAGCTTATCAGACTATAGAGCTACTCCACAAGTCCACAGCGGAAGTTAGTAGAGCAGTCTGAACCAAACCGTGAATGAAACAGGCTTTAGGTGCATGAACCACGCGTCACCACCTGTACGCCGAGGTCGGAGGTTAAAGAAAAGACCTAGCTTTATCGGCGGACGGCACGTCGTGAGCGAGGAAGGCCGTTTTTTTTTTCCAGTTTCCACGAAAAGAAAATTTTGGTTCACGCGTATCTGCAGAATTACTGTGCATTTGAGCTAAAAAAAAGAATTACTGTGTATTTATATGGAAACACTGACACGGGCGCATTCACGCAGCTCCACTATGTACGCCAATTTCAGGAGGGATTAAAGAAAAGACCTAGCTTTTACGCAAAAAAAAGAAAAAAAAATCTAAACACCTAACAGCATGTAGTATAACTTTTTAATGACACAATATAACGCAATAAATAAATCTCCATTCACATTAGAGTCTGTTTGCCGAGGTCACCGGCTAGGCGGCTAGCAGTGCATTTTGATTCTCCGTGCCGTGCTGCAACAGGTCGAGCCGTGCCCAACCTACTTCATGCTTTTGTACATACCGTCAATGATGCTCTGCGTGAAAAGCGACACAAAAACGCACACGAAGGTCAGCTTCACCAACATCGGTAGTCCAAGCTGAGTTACCTGAAACTGCGCCCATACCTGATAGTGTTTCAGCAGCTGCGGCCGCTTCTTCTTGTACGTCGGGGTGATAAGGTCGCGCTCCATGTCGAACGGTGCAGGGTCCAGATGAACAGCCCTGATGAGCTCGAAGCCTTTGAGCTGTTACACCAGGATTAAGAGAATGATGCGTCATTCTAATTCTAAATAAATAGACGACGAGGGTTTCGGTTTCGCTCTTATTACCTTCTTTTCTTTCCCCATCTTTGTAAGTTCTCCCAAGACGAACTCTTTCGCTTTAGGGTCTTCGCATATCGTGGCAAAGTCTCCAGTTACCCCGTTCGACTCTGCCCAACGCTCCAGTGCTTGCTTGTTGGGGTTCACAACTGCAACAAGGCTTGACTCGAAGCTGTTGCCGTAGACCCAAATCTGAAGATATACCATACCAATAATGATTTAGACTAAGAAAATTAGTGGATTATGGAATTATTTGTAATCATTAGCTGCAGAACACTTAAGTGTGTAGATGAAGGTTGTTTTGAGCTGTACCGAATCAACACCAGGAGTTTGACCAAAGATGTTCTCCAGATTCTCGACTGCAACGTACTCTCCTTGTGAGAGCTTGAAAATGTTCTTCTTGCGGTCAATGATCTTCATGCTTCCGTCGGACTGCCACTCCCCAATGTCTCCTGCAGTAATAAATAGTAATATTTGACAGTGAACAACCGTTAGACGTGGAAAGATATCTGGACTTTTGGAAAATTTCAAAGGTATTTCAGATGGCAAGTTAAATCAGGTCTCTTTCAAGACAGTTAACAATGATCTTCCAGGAGTTAATTTCAAAAATTGTATGACAGAGCAGATGGCAAGTTAAATCAGGCCTCTGCAAATTTTTAGACAGTTAACAAACTTTGTCCGATCTTCCAGGAAAAGATTTGTCTCGTGATTTACAACCAAACTGTAAATTATTTTTGACAAAGCCAGGTGTCCAAAAATTGATGTGATGGAGAGAGAGTGAAAAAACTTAGAATTTTGATGGGATCTAAACAAGGCCTTAGACATTTTCTTGACTGCCAGTGATGCTGACATGGACATGTTCGATCAGATGCTGCAGGAATACTGGAATAGGGATCGATGATACCTGTGTGGAACCAGCCATCGACCAAAACTTCGTTTGTTAGGTCCTCTCGCTTGTAGTACCCTGAGAACAAGGTGTCCCCTCGGATGCAAATTTCACCACGAGGCGTTTCGCTCGACAGTGCATCATAACCCATCTCAGGGACAGACTCCAGGCGTACTTCGACGTATGGGACTGGAGGGCCAACAGTTCCCAGCATGGACATGTTGTTCGGCAGGGAAACGAAGGACCCAGCACAGGTTTCCGTGAGTCCTAGAGAGGGGAAAAAGGATAGGCGATTAAGATTATCAGACATTTTGGGCGACTGCTCTTTTTTTTTTGTCAATTTGGAACTGTATATTTCGATGTTGATGAGGATACCGTATCCTTGAAGGACATGGGAGCATGTCACCACACGCAGATACTCCTCAACATGTCTAGATAGGGGAGCTGCGCCAGATAGAATCAATCGAACCCTTCCACCTAGTCCCCGTTTCACCTATACAGAATACAAAAGAACAAATCAAATCAGTAAATAAGTAGCGATAAGCAATAAACTGACTTCTGAAATCACAACTTCTATCCGTTTCATTGTACCTTGGTGAAGACCAGTTTATCAAAGACTGCAGCAGCCTCTTCATGCTTGCTTCCCTTCAACATATTGCCTTGTTTGCTGCACAATCATTTGCAGTAAAAGTTAAGAGTTTGATCACTATATTAACTAAGATGTACCTTGGTGCATATAAGAAAAAAAAAACAGCATTACTATTTGTAAGCAACATTGAACAAGGTTTTCTTCAGGAAACCACCAGCTGTAATTTTATCTTGCAATCCTGAGTCAGAGATATAGAACATCAGTATCTGGATTAAGGTTTGAATAACATAAGTATTTGAATAGAGCTGCTAGAAGGTATGGTAAAAAAGAATATTTAATCAAATTGCAGTATACCTCCATAAATTCTGTCCAGAACACGTGGAACAGCACAAAATACTGTTGGTTTGAGTTCTCCAATGTCTTCAACCAAGTGTTTCACATCCTGAAGCAGAATTCTTATTGATCAAATCGCGCTAATAAAAAAGGTAGCTAGTAATAGTATAGAACATGTATTTTGTATCCTTACCCCACGCCAAAATCCGATTGAAGCACCATGGCGAATGAATACCTCCTCAATCACCCGGTCAAAGATATGAGCAAGCGGAAGATAGGAAATGTAAACATCATCCCCGTTAAGCTGATAGAACAAAATAAGATTTTGTAAAAGGAAGAGACAATGCATTGGGATAGAAAACACAGGAGCAAAATATGAATGGTCTACCTGCTCGTTTGAATTGTTAAGGAACTCATCTACTGCTGAAACAATAGTAACAATGCTCTTGTTCGAGATTAGCACTCCCTTGGGATCACCAGTTGTCCCACTGGTGTACATTATTGTGCATATGTCATCCTTTTCCTTGGGTGGAAGTTCAAACTTCTCTTCACCTCCCTGTTGTTAGAACAGAAAGATTAATCTTTCTAACTGATGTCCCAAAAATAAAATGTATAAGTTTGAAACGGAAAACGTGCCTTAACACATTAGTAGTATTCTTGTAACTAAGCATTTATTCATTCCATATGTGATTTGGTCAGGAAGGGAGAACCTTACCAGTTGCAGAAACTCTTCCCATGAGTAGATGGACAAGCCATTCTGTTCAACTTTTTCCTTGTGCCCGGGATCAACCTTACCGAAGCTAACAATTGCTTTAATCAAAATGAAAATGAATGACTATCAGTAAGTCATATCCACTACATTATAGCTTATCCACACATCCAGGAAATTTCTCAAACTTACTCTTCAAATATTTGGTCGCATTGGGAAATGTCTTGAGCATCTGAAAAGAACAATGAATTATTTGAAACGCCCAAACAAACAAGCTGGTACAAGGTATTCTCGCTAGATCAGGCAAGTTAGATGTACACTATGCTGTGGAATATTCTAATAAATCATCAATGTACTATTTTGTTATATTTTTGGATATAAAGAAAATGCAAATAATGATTTTTGTTATCTTTTTGATATAAGGAAAATGCAAATAATGATTTTAGATTCCTACTGTAACATTCAAATGTTGTATGAGAAAAACTTATAGGTTTGAAATAGGTGATAAAATAATGTCTTGTTTTTGTAATAACAATTTATAAGTTGCTTTAAATTCTATACATATATGCTGACAAGGGTGGAGATATTATCAAAAGGTTCCAATAAAGAAGCATACCTCTCCAATCTTCTTTTCCTCAATAAAAGCAATTTGTACCTCTGCATGGCACAATACAAATTCTACTGCCCCAGCACCTACAGCCATAAAAGTTGACGGTAGATGCAGCGGACCATTGTTATTAGTTTACCCAAACAGGACCTTTACATGTGTGCGTGTGTGACTGTACACATGTTGTGATTTGACAATTGCTTTGTGAACATGATAATTCTGAACAATTTTTATTGCTCTACAGAAACAAAAAAAAACTTACCAAGCGTGTCATACAGTGGAACACAGTAAATGCCATGGGCATTGCAGGACTGGACAGTAAAGCAATGGAGTGCATAAGCAACAAGTAAGGGTGATAGCATTGTGGAAGTTGTGGTATGGTCAATAACCGAAAAGATGCAGAAATATATTCGTAAAAGACAGTAGAATTCTGGCATCCACATCCATAGAAATTTACACAAACTTTTCTAGAAGCGCGTTCTCCCCAGAAGAATTTTACTTTCCAATAAATTCCAGCACGTTATGAAAAGTTAAAATGCTCTGGCCATCTTTTTCTTTGGTGGAACAAGAAAGTTGTATCAGTAGGACTTGTAGTTATGAGGCTAACAGTCTTTTCTTTTATTCAGCATTTGATGATCACCATCCTATGTTTCTAGTTGGGTTCCGGATACTGCTACTATAATAAGTGCACCTGCATACTGATGACCCACTCAGGAGAATTGGCTCCATAGATGCCGCACCGGCCGCTCTGCAGACAATCATACATGCAACTGTGAGCGATCCATGCATCAGCATGGCGGATAATGGAAGAAAATAAACGAAGAATCATTCATTCTAGCCTCTCACTATGGAAGATCACGAGCAATAAGCCAAGGAAACGCCCATACCTTGCCGACACCACAGCTCCGGATGGCGGCCCCAACCTTGAGCACGGTGTCGTATACCTGCTTGTAAGTCAGCCATGTGTAGCTGCCAGCCTGAGGACGCATGATGAGACAAAGAGGCGACAGTGGAATTCAGTCAGCAGAAGATATAAAAAACAAAGAACCGCACGCCGGACGCAGGTATCAGGTATGGAACCAGCACGGGCGCAGGTATGGAACCAGGCTGTGGGCCACGATCACCGACCTTCCCGTCGACAATTTCGCGGCGGCCCAGCATCTTGTTGTCGGGGTACTTCTCCACGGACAAGCTGCACGGAGTCGCATCACGCGCACGAGCACGTCACGTCACCACCGGGGGGTTGGGAACAAAACAACAATAATAATTTCAACAGCGAGCGAATTGCGGTGGATTCATGTCGATGGTGAGCGCAATCCACAGGCTGGAGAGCCTGGCATTGCGAATCCCAGGGGGAGAGAATAGATAGATCTATCTGTACGCCTACGCGCGCGGTGCGGGCGGCCCCGCGCGAGGAGAAAAAGCGAGAGGAGGACGGACGGCTGGGGAGGATCACGCTCACGCACGCGCGGCGGCGGCGGAAAACGGACGACGTACGTACCGGAATATGTCCCAGCAGCAGTCGAGGCCCGGCACGGCGGGCGGCGACGCGCCGTTGCCACCGGCCGCGCATCGGTACGTCGGCCCCGCCGATGGCGCCCCGCCCGCCGCCTCCTTCGCCGGCTCCACCTCCACGAGGTGCTTCATCGATCCCGCCACCATCTCTATTCCTGTGCTCTCTCGGCCTCTCCTTCCTCCCTCCCTCTCCGTGTTTTTTTTCCCTTCGAGGAAAAAACTCCTCGTCCCTCTCTGCCTGGCGTACGTGAGTGAGCGCACGAGACGAGCGGCGCGTCAGGCACGCAGCATCGCGGCGAACCGGGCTGGTGATGCGGGCGGGCGGTGCCCAACGCCAACAAGACAACAGCAGCAGAATCTCACACGGCGCACGCAACGGGGCGAGGAGGTGTATTCGCGCTAGATCAGGCCAGATCAACAGCAGCCAGCACGGCTCTATTTGTATCCCGGCACGTCGCCCGCGAACCCGATACAGCAGTCAGCGGTACTACTATTGTATGGCGTTCTGCATGGCCTGTGCGGCTGTGCCGCGATCGCCAAGACTGACCTGAACCTGACCCCAACAGCCGATGATACGGGGCGCATGCAGAACGCATGGTTCAGAACTTAGACGGGATGGCTTTTTCCAGCACGTCACGTACGGCGACGGATTTGTTTATGCTGCACGGCGACGTGGTGCGGCGGCACGGCACGGTGGACTGGACGTGCGGGCCGGGGCGGGGGGCTGATCGCGTGGCGTGGAATTTCTTCGAGGGACGGAATCGTCGTTGAGATAGAATGGGATTGAGATTGACAAGGATCGGATCTCGGTTCAACTTCCACGGTCGTTAGTTGCTGGCCCTTATTTAACTAACCACGGCGCTGAGTGGTGGCGGGCGCTGCACGGAAGGGACCGGGCCGGGCCGGCCATTTACTCCGATCCACGGCAATAATTATTGTAAAATATAAGTACTCTATCGTATAAGAAAAAGAGAGTGAGAAATCTTAAATTTAGTCCGTTTATATGTAGGCTTTTATTAAACTATTAGATCTTAACAGGACTATATATATACGTGTAAGCTCTATATTGTAATCATCAATATTGAGGGAAATAAAGAATAGTCTCCCTATTTTCTATGTCTATGTGTTCTATTTTCATCTACTATGTTAATCACGAGAGATGAAGAGGAAAAAATCCTAACCACTGGCAGCATGTTTTATAACAATAATGACACCATGGCGTAGGGTGGCAGGTTTTCCTTTATTACTCATTCGATAGGTACTGTAGAGGAGAAGGACTGCTTGAACGACCAGCCAGATGGATGGTGACCGGCTTTAACTATGGCAGGATCTCTTCTCGGATGTTTTTCGTGCATCAAATGTGACGTATTGTCACACTATTGGCCCAGGGGGGCTAAAATCAGCTCTACTCCTCGTGCCAGAGTATCCGTCGTTTTCATTTTCCGAAAAACAACTTTAACAAAATATATATTAAAAATATTAATATTTATGGTATATAATTGATATCATTAGAAAGATTTTTAAATCTAGTTTTTTAATAAATTTATTTAATGATACAAATATTACACGTATTTTCTATAAATTAAGTTAACTTGTGACATAAAAATCAAAAGCGACAAATAATTTGGGACGAACGAGTAGTTGTTAGGCCCTGTTTAGTTCCAAAAAATTTTCACCCCAAAGTGTCACATCGAATCTTGCGGCACATACATGAAGTACTAAATGTAGACGAAAAAAAACTAATTGCACAGTTAGGTGAGAAATCGCGAGACGAAACTTTCGAACCTAATTAGTCCATAATTAGACATTAATTGTCAAATACAAACGAAAGTGCTACAGTAGCCAAAGCCAAAAATTTTCGCGAACTAAACGTGCCCTTAGTAACTTGCCTATACTGAGTGCGCGTTTAGTTCCAAAAAGTTGCACGGTTTGATTGGAAATCGTAAGACGAAACTTTCGAACCTAATTAGTCCATAATTAGACACTAATTGTCAAATACAAACGAAAGTGCTACAGTAGCCGAAGCAAAAAAAACACGAACTAAACGCGCCCTTAGTAACTTGCCTATACTGAGTGCGCGTTTAGTTCCAAAAAGTTTCCCTAAAAAGTGCTACAGTAGCCATCACATCGAATCTTGCGACACGTGCATAGAGCATTAAATGTAGACGAAAAAAAACTAATTACACAGTTTGATTGAAAAATCGCGAGACGAACGTTTTGAACCTAATTAGTCCATGATTGAACACTAATTGCCAAATAAAAACAAAAGTGCTACGGTAACCAAATTACAACTTTTCTCCCAGCTAAACACGGGCTGAAACTATTATCTCGGGTTCCAGCTATCTCTTCGAAGTTTGCGCCTGCAGTGATCCCGGGTGTAGTGCGAAACTTCCATTGTCGTTGAACCAGTAGAGAACCCATTTCAAAACGCAAAGCATGTTCTTGAGCGCCTTGGTCGAGTTCTCCGTCGTGTTAAAATCACCTAGGACGAGATTTCAAAAAAAAAAAAATCACCTAGGACGACCCTGTAGCCCCCTATTTTGTCACCATCAATCCTGTGAAGCAAAGAAAATTAACTATACAATTTGGGCAACGTTGTGGACATAAGACATTTTCCAACCTTTTGTCCGTTGTCAGCTTGTTACAAAACAACAGATTTGTACGAATGAACAAAGTAAAGAAAAAGGAGATCACAAAGCATAAAAAAAAGCATAGAACACATCTAAATAAATTCAACCCCTGAAGCCCAGGTGAGGGCATATTCAGTGATTAAAATATTTCTTTAAGTGAAGTTGCAAAGTGAAGATATGCCATAATAAGCAACAAATTGAAGAAATCTGATGCTTGAGTGACATGATTTTTTTTTACGAAGCTGGAGGGGTTTACACCCCTACAGAAATTTATTAAAAGTTAAAGCCAAAAGGCAGTTACAAGAAGAGTGACATGATTTGTAAGCAAACATAACACGAGAGCCCTAGCGTAGCAAGAAAATCTTACTTATAAGGGACCTTCAATGACTTATCAGGTGGAACATTGTTCTCTTTGTCCAAACTTACAGCGAACTCAACAAACTCCTGCAGACACCTCAGAAACCATGTCATGGCAACATCATATCGGGTGCTGAACAACACATTCGCTGGACCAAACCTGAATATCAACCATTCACTTACTCACATGCAAAGCATGATAAGTTGCACTGCCAATCAAGGTGAACAGTAAATGCAGAAAAATACCAAAGCAACTGGTTATTTTAGGTTCCATTTTGGTATATACCCCATATTATAAAAAAAAATATTATGGTTACTTTCATATGTTAACATCATCCGTGTTATGGTGGGAAACGTGTACGCGAGAAAGAAGAAGGGCAGTGGCTGAGAAGTGGACCGGACCAAGGCGCCAAGTCGGGCCAGAGCGCGGTCACCATCGTCATGGCACGCCAGGAGCGTCGGTTGCTAGATCCAAGTCATTTGGTTGTTATCCCTTTGCATTAGCTGAAAGTTGTTAGGATTGGAGTATAAGTACGGAACACTTATGTTTAATGAAGGTTAGTGTCGCGGGGTCGAAACCACGACAAGCATTATTGTTCGAGTCGGTGTTAGAGTACGTGTCTCCGATGACTCGGGTGGACTAAAAAACACAAGAATCACAGAGAGGACGCAACAGTTTATCCTGGTTTGGGCTGATCGATGTCCTACGTCCAGCAGCTGATAATCCTTATACTCAAGAGCACCCGAAATCGGGGGGTTACAACAGAGTGTACAGGAGGAAGAGAGAGATTTGGTAGGGGGTTAGCTCGGTGCTAATCCTGATGTTGCCTCGCCGCCGGTGGAGCCTTCCCATCGTTGGAGAGGAGGAAGACGACAGGTGCAGTGGAGGAGCTCTCGGTGCCCCTCTCTGGGTTGTTTTGCTCTCGGTGCTGAGCAGGAGCGGATCGACGAGGAATAGAATGATATGTTTGGGATCGTCCTCCCCCTCTAGGATTCGACCTTATCCCTTATATATCGAGATAGGTCGGGTACATGACGGTTTGGGGGGTTGAGCCTATGGTTTACATGTGCCAGAGTCCAGGACGGTCTTGCAGCGACGCTCTGTGGACCGTGGCGATGTCGTGGAGCCGAAGAAGCCTTGGGCGTCGTCTGGCTGGCCTGTTCTAACACATTGAGTGTCGGGCTGTGTCGGCTTGGACCAGCCTCCCCCAGGCGTATCTTTTGGAGTCTTCTTGGAGGCGAGGGAGGTCGGCTCGAAGCGCTGACGCGACGGGCCCGGAAGCCCCCGAGCCCCCAGAGGCCGAGGGGAGCTTGTCTTCTTGTGTCACGCCCCGTGCGTGACCCTATCGGGGGAGCGGCCGGCATGGCCACACCCAAAATGCTGCGTTGGGGAGCCCCCGAGCCTCGATGGCTCGGGGCGTGTCTTTTAGTGCCCGGGCTTTGGCTGGCATCGTAGGCCGGGTAGGAGCGAGGGTCAGGCTCAGGTTTCCCGTCGATCGGGAGCCTGAGGCCCGGGTGAGCCCACGAGCCCTGAGCAGAGGCGTTGGCGTGCTCGGGCTTGGGCAGGTTCCTTAGTCCGAGGGTGCGCGCGAGCTTACCCGATGGGTATAGCCCCCGAGTCCCCTGGCGGTCCTAGAGGGATCGATCGGGGCGTCTCTACGATCGGAAATCATAGATCCCGAGGCTTAACATACCCATATGTTAGGATCTCGTCAATTAGCCAGAGATTAAGTTAATCTCTCTCGCTCTTTGGCGTTTCCATTCTCTCGCTCTCTCGTTCCAGCCCTAAACACCGGCGCCGAGCACGGCGCCGCCAGTCCGCCGTCGGGCATTCAAGCCACGACCGTCCACCTCCCATTCCTATCCCCTGCGCAATAGGCCTAGCTCCAACAATCCCATACTAGTTTAACTTTGGCGACATGAAAATCCATTAAAAATAAACATGAAAGTTCTGAAAGTATTGTTTATGATGGCATCTATCACCACACAATTTGAACTAAAAACTCAACTTGTCCAGGGAGAAAAAAGAACAAGAAATTTCATGTTTATTTTTGGGGAGGAAACGAGTCAAAATTTGATCAGACGATCAAATGAACAAATTGTTTTTTTTTCAGCATAGTGAGATGGATTTTTTTCCATTTTATTATGAACCACTGAAAAGTGAGGATTGAGGAATACTGGCGTACAGATCATCTAGAAAGGGACAAACACAAAGCAGAAAGCTTACAGTTTATACGTTTTGTTATTGATGTCTATGATTCTTGGATAGCTTCCCACAGCATGAATCTTGATCCGGTATCTATGCAAACGCTGAGGAACTCAAAAGCACAGTTTTCTTTCTAGAACAACAACTATAGCGTGCTAAGTATCAAGGTTTACCATCCATATGTAATCAATGAAGTGAAACATGCAACTTAGCAATGTAAGTAGCAAAGAAGTTATTAAAAAAAACTTAGTGTGTGACACGTGCACTTGAGGGCTAACAAAGTGTGGCTAGAAAACCAAAAACATGGACAGATGTGGCAATCAACCAAACACTTAACTAGTAACTGTGGCATGAGAAAGGTATCGCAAGTTAGGCTGCAAACCAAACACAGCAATACTACTCAACTACCTTGGAGTCTTTGACACACATAAATACCAAATTTTTCAAGATTCTCCGTCACATCGAATCTTTGGACACATGCATGAAACATTAAATATAAATAAAAAATAAAACTAATTACACAGTTTAGACGAAATCCACGAGACGAATCTTTTAAGCCTAATTAGACTATGATTGGACACTAATTACCAAATAACAACGAAAACTGCTACAGTAGCATTTTGCAAAAAAATTCGCATCTAAACTAGCCCTTACACTACTATCCTAGGCAGTAATACACCCCAAATAGTTGAGGAGACGGCTGGCGGATAGAGGTTCTTGGACCTAAGTATATCTGGATATGCACCCCTAACAATATAGAAGATGGCTACCGGATTTCTTCGAGCCAAAATGTATTTGGGTATAGATTTATAGAAAGCAACATATCAGAAAAGAACAAAACATCGAAACAGGTACCATAATAATAGGCCAATGGAGCCATAATTTGGATATACTTCTGAAGAGAGTGATGAGTACATAAACTTATAGAAAACATCATTATGTGCCAAGGATACTGAAATTTCGGGGTAAAATACTGAGCCATGATATGCAACAGAAGTGCAACTTGACCCCAAGCAGCATTTATCTCATCCCACTCAACCTAAGAGTGACATAGATTTAAATCAAAAATAGCTGAACTCAGAAGTATGCCTCAAATAGAATGCAGGCGAAGCATTGAATGTAGTGAATCAATGTCTTATCTTTGATCTTTGCAACTTGCAGTTAGGATACCAACCTCATGAGAGTGTCCAAGACGGAGGTTATTTATTGTTCCAAATACTCCATGGTGTGAAATATAGAATGCATCATTAAGAACATTTGTATGCTTTAACAGTTCCAGATGGGCCTGAGAAACTTCTATTTTTGCTAAAATAGCATCTTGTTCTTCCTGCGTAGTGAAGTGGCAATTTTTTCAGGTAGTAAACTATCAGTAACTGAAGAAAATGTTGGGAAACAATTCAATCCTAGGGAAACCTGCACATAGATAAGGAATCATAATTTCTGCTGCTATCTGCAGATAAGAAGGCAGTATGAAATAGAGATACCAATGCAGGCAATATGCACATTGCAACAACATTATTGGCTTTAGCCATCAATTTGTTGACACGGAAGAAATATATGATGACAAAAGCAACGTAGACTTGGTAAACTGTGAGCTTCTGAATTATAGCTGACATGAAACAGAGTACATGTCTAATTGTATGTGCATTTCACTGAAGGAGTCAACACATTTTGAAGTACGACAACATTAAGACAGTGCATTGTTAATCTGATAAGTAGATATCCATATACATATGAACTATAATGAGTATACCTGATGAGATGTCCGCTGAAACCAAAAGCTGTTGAATTCTTGCCAGTATCTGCCAAGAATATGACACATAAGCTTTTCTTAACAATTTAGTATGTATACAATAGGAGTCAACCAAAAATTGCAGACTGTGTAAGCAACTGCATAGTTGTGGTGGTGATTCGCAGAACAATATTCCTGTGATAATAATTATCCAGTGGTGGTATTGGTGCCAATTTATATCGGGCCTGTTCGCTGGTTGGTGCTGGTGCTGGTTTGGGCTGGCTGGTGCTGGTTTTTTTTTTGAGAGGAAAACACTGTTGGCTGGCTGGTTTAGGCTGGCTGAAACCAACAAGCGAACAGGCTGATCGAATGTTTTACTTAGTTAACTAAATAGCAGAACCAAATTATTTAACATTTCAAGTAAAGAAGTGGGTGCAATATTGATCAACCTCTTGTTAACAGGAAAGAAACAAAGGAAGCAAGAAAAACAAAAAAACACTGCAAGAAAAACTAACAGATGGAGCACCTACTGTTAGCATCAAGTAAATAAACATGATTCAAGACAATGCAACCTAGACAAAAACTAGGGGCTAGTGCGTTCTTGCCCCTATTTTAAATCCCAATTGTGATTTTACCCCCATTTTCTTCCACTTTGTGTTTTTACCCCTGCTTTTCCAAAACGAAGGTTCAGTTTACCCCTACTCCGTGAACAGCAGGTAACGGTGTTAAAAAAGTTGAAACATGACGAGTTTGCCCTTCCGAATATTGCGTTTTTGCCCCTATTTCAAACCCCAATTGTGATTTTACCCCTACTTTCTTCCACTTTGTGTTTTTACCCCTACTTTTCCAAAACGAAGGTTCCGTTTACCCCAATTCTTAACTCAGTCATCTACATCCGGATCAAAGCAATTAAAAATTAACAAAAGCCCTGTGAAAAGATAAACTTACCCCTTATCTCTCGGTCGTCTCTCTCAGGGAAGTCCCTCTCAACGCTAGCAGGCAGCGGGCGGCTGGGTGCGGCGGCGGTGGCGGCGGAAGAGCAGCGTCGGTCCGTCGGGCGGGCGCGTGCGGCCAGGCGGAGGAAGCGGCGCGGGCGCGGACGACTTAGCCTGACGTGGGCGCGCAGCCAGGCACGCGGCTCTGCTTGGCGCGGGCGTGCGCGACTTGGCTGGCGTCGCGAGCGCGCGTCTCGTGAAAGCAGCCGACCATGGAGTGTGCTGAGTGATAGAGTCCACTTAATGTCGATGCACGCACAGGTGACGGTGGTGGACTGGGCGTGGTGGATCGGCCTCCTCCTCGGCATCGTTCCACTGCTCACGCTCGCTGTGTGGCACAGCAACGACGTCTGCCACTGCGCCTTCTTCGCGCTGAAGCGTTGGCGCCGTCGTGCGAGGCTCCCGCCGGGCCACATGGGCCTCCCATTTGTGGGCGAGAGCCTCTAGCTGCTCTGGTACTACAAGCTCGCGCGCCGCCCCGACGGCTTCCTCCACGCCAAGAGGAGGCGCTACTACGCCGGGGCCGCGCGGGCGACGTGGGCGTGTACCGAATGCACCTCTTTGGCTCGCCGACCGTCCTCGTCTGCTCGCCGGCGGCCAACAAGTTTGTCCTCAAGTCCTCCCAGGACGTCGAGGGCAACCAGCAGGCTCCACGGGTTCATCCTCGCCGCCATCAACCGCCCCGGCTCGCTCCGGGCCATCGCCGAGGTCGTCCAGCCACGTCTCGTGGCGGCGCTGCGGTCGTGGGCGGACAAGGGCACCATCTCCGCCGCCACTGAGATCAAGAAAGTACGCATGCATGCTCCTTAATTAGCTATATATTCCTACGCACAGTGATGCATGCTAATGCGTTTATTTGAAGCCATAAATCGAATAACTAACGCATGCGCTTGCAGGTGACGTTCGAGAACACATGCAAGATGTTCGTGAGCAGGGATCCGTCGCCTCTCACCGATAAGATCTCCATGGTCGTCTGCTTTCACGAGACGCGCCGCGACGCCAAGCCAAGCCATCGCCACTTATAAAGCAGATCTCCATGCCCGGGTCAAGGCGCGCATCGCCAAGCTAAGCCGCGCGCACCACCAAGCTTCCGCTTCCTCCGCTGGCGCGCAGCGCGCCCGCCTGCAACGGGGCTGCTCTTCGCCGCCACTGTCATTGCACCACCCGCCAGCCGCGGCTAGCGTTGAGAGGGACGACCCTAAGAGAGACGACCGAGAGATAAGGGGTAAGTTTGTCTTTTCACATGGCTTTTGTTAATTTTTAATTGCTTTGATCCGGATGTAGATAACTGAATTAAGAATTAGGGTAAATAGAGCCTTCGTTTTGGAAAAGTAGGGGTAAAAACACAAAATGGAAGAAAGTGGGGGTAAAATCACAATTGGGGTTTGAAATAGGGGCAAAAACACAATATTCGGAAGGGCAAACTCGTCATCTTTCAACTTTTTTAACACCGTTACCTGCTGTTCACGGAGTAGGGGTAAACTGAACATTCGTTTTGGAAAAGTAGGGGTAAAAATATAAAGTGAAAGAAAATGGGGGTAAAATCACAATTAGGGTTCAAAATTGGGGCAAGAACGCAATAGCCCCTTAAAACTAATATCAAGAAGATGCGTGAAAGAAAATGGCAAGGAGAAAAAGTACTATCTGCTCTTTCAATTCCTTAAATTGTTTAGATTTTGTTTCAAGATCTTTCATCTCAGAAATAACTTCTGGATATTGCTTTTCAGCTTCTTCAATATCAGCTCTAAGTTTCTTTTCTTCTTCCTCAATCTGAAATTGCAGCACAAAATACAAATGGAATTCACAAAAGTGTTATAACTTACACATTCCAACAAAAATTCTGACAGCTTCTGCAATAAGGTTGGAACATTGACATATCTGACAGTTTTTGAAAGAAAGGACACATCTGACAGTAATATTCTGCCATGAGTTGATTGCTTATGTTTGGTTATTCATCAAGTATACCAATACCAATCAAACAATAATATCTGGATCCTGTATCTTCATTAGTTAGTTGTAATCAAATCATATATGCCAAGAGGCACGCTCACCTTTTGTTTCTCCTTCTGAAAATCCGTTTCACTGAGGATGCTGTAGGACTCCTGCTCCAAATGTTGAAGAGAAGCCTCATAAGCTTTAATATCAGAACTAATATCTTCAATCTCAAAATCCATCTTATCAGAAAGAATTCTCATACATTCCAGACAAAGCGGCTGCTTAACCTTCATATGACAATTAAGCCATTAAAACACTAACATAAAAAACAAATAGCACAAACACAAAAAGAAAAATATGAATGACAGAAGTACCAAATATATCCGTGCTCACATAATGAATATTGACGCATCTTAAACAAGCAATAGTACCTGAGTTTGTGAGGTAGCAATCTCAAATGCTCTTTTTAATACAGTAACACTAGAGAGAAATACAGAATTATTTCCTGGCATAGAGCTACTGGAGTTAACACTTGGTGGCAGCAACTGTCTACCAACCCCTTCAGAGGAAAGATGTCTTGTATATGGAAGCAGCAGGACGTGGAAGCATAATATATGAAGCCTCTATCGGCTTTGGTGGTTGATTAGGTTCAATATTTGGGGCTGCTGCACTTCGTGGACGTGGGGGGATTCCAAGTCCTTGAGATCTATTGTTCTTTGATAATACTACATAAGAACTGTCCATCCTGCTTGCGCCCAAGGTACTACCCTGAACAGCAGATGCATGCATACCTGCACCCATTAATAACAGCACAAAAGGTAAGAGCCACCACTATCGCAAAATTGCAAAATAGAGAAGCTTGATGGGTATGTGTAGTGCTTGAAGGAAGAAAATGTAGATTTAACAATGGTTTTCAAGGTAATTCTGTGACACAAAATAATTTAAAAGAAGATATCTAGAGTAAAGGCAAATGACAAATGATACTCCTGGTCTTAGTATTAATGCACTGGAATAATTTAATCATTAAACCTGCTTGGCAACTAAAATAAATTCCAATGTTTAGCATCATCTAAACAAAATAACGAAGAATTGTTAACCGTACGATCAAGGCAGCAGGCAGCAGCCTTTTCCCCATTCAAGAAAAGAATTATAGCTATGTTCCTGAACGAGTCGCATGTCCGAGTATTTAGCTGTTTAGCTTACCCTCAGTGTGGACATGAAGGTTCTATTGTGTGAATACCTCTATTCAAAACTCTAAAAGGAAGAGAAGATTGCAAATGTTCTTTTAAGCCAAAATCTTTTCAATTCCTGCCATAAGCTCACTAGGTCTCCTTCGGAATGTAGGATTGAAAAAATGCAGGAATAGAAAAACACAGGAATATGATATGAATTCATAAGCAAAATAGACGAAACAACATTAATTTTATACGAATAGGTGTTTGGATAAACACCAAGAAAAACACAAGAAACAAGAGGTTTGAGTGGATGTTTTTTCCCATGGTTTTCATGTGAAATCAAACACAAAGGAAGGTTTCCTTCCAACTAAAGGACACAACAGTAACTCAATCCATAGAAATGAGGATCCTATATTTTTCCTTTGTTTTTCCTAGAATCCAAAGGGAGCATTGCAAACCATTAAAATTCCCAAATTGTACTTGAAATTGCTGCATTTCTTTTTCTAGAAAGTAGAAACATTACAGTTTAGTGCATTCCATTAGAAAAATGCACTTGAAGTTATAGGGCAATAAAGCGTGCCAGGGTTGTCATGGTAATATGTATTCACCATCTAAGAATTTAACCATGATTAAGAATTTTTTTTCTCGAACGTGCCATTGGCACGGTATTCATTAAGCAGAATGAGAGTTTTACAAATTATTAAAGCTGGGACGGTATTTTGTGGTTACTGAACCAAACACCGACATAGCTCACACAATTGTGATTACAAAAGAAACTACGTAGCGGCCGCGCAGAGGACCAAGCAAAGGGACAAACAAACACAGCAGGCCCTGAACCCAGCGACTAAAAAACGTCCTGCTCGAAGCGAGTGAGGTTGAGCTCCATGGCCACCGGATCGAAATCTGGAGCGAAGAGCGCCTGAAGGGCCTCCTGCTTGGAGGGCGACAACGGCTCAGCGAAGAAGGCCTTGATACTATCCAAGGCCGCAGGCTCCGGACTCTACGCCATGTCTGCGATCCCTAGATTTTGCCTCAACACATTTTGTGCCTGGACAGTCAGGTTGGAGGCCTTAGCCTTAGCAGTAAGCCTCCCACTCCGACGCACCGACAACACCGTTGAAGGTGTCCTGGACCTCCTCAACCTCGGCTTGCTAATCAAAGGGGTCTCGAGCGGGATGCATAACCGCGCCTCCAATTGTGTCAACAGGGGCACATCAGCCGATGGAGGTTCAGCGTTATGGCCTTCGTTGTCAGTCGAAGACCCGCGGCTGGGCCTCAACAGCTCAAGCTCCACAGCTTCTGAATCCGGCACAGGCGTCCGCGGCCGCTTCCTACCCTGGGGGGAGCAACGCGCGACCAAGTCAGGCGATCCACAAAGCTATGCCAGAAGGGGCGACCCTCCTGCTGGGACCCCCACACCCGAAGGCTTCTCCATGACGACCAACCCCTCGGAGCGCATGGGATCCCATCGCTCATGGGCCGGCACGGCCTGCATCTCGGAAGCGATGGGGTCAAAGAAGTCGTCGAAGGAAACCTGAGGCAGGGAGGAGTGCACGGCAAACTCGCCTGCAGTAGGAATCTCAGATGGGGCGTGGGGCGTCGATGAATCAGCGGGCAACCCAGAGGTGGCCTTGACGGTAATCCACGACCATGCTCTACCACCCAGCGCACATACACCCATCAACGGCGAGGAGTAGCATGTGGAGGCGGTAGCGACAATGTTGGACCTCGGCCGCTTGCAGTCACGCGCTATGTGCCCAAACCTGTGGCAGCGCAGGCAGCGGCGGGAGAGCCGGCAGGTGGCCACCCGATGAGTCCGGAATAGGCAGTTGAAGCACCTACCCCGAAAATCGGCGAGGAAGATCCGGGGTCTGACCCCCAAGCGGGCGCCTTGCTGAAGCCTGGCCTCACCACCTCCCCGGCACAGCTGCTGGTTGCCCACTGGATGATTTGGAGAATGAGGCAGGATGCATCGCCACCCATCAGCATCAAGGGCGGATACCCTACTCCGCGGGCTGAGCCACAGTTGAACTAGGATCCGAGGAGCCTCGGAGGGCGGGGCTTCCCCGTCCCTGCGTGGCGCGTCGCAGTCACCCGTTGCGGCCATGACAGCCCTCAGCCAGCGGCACCGGGATGGCAGTGCACCGCAAACCGCCATCGGTGGGGGGCTCGCCGAGGAGGGAGCAGCGCCCGAGCGAGTCAAACGCGCGGCCTTTAGCGATGGGGAAGGAGAGCGCTCGAGGTCAGAGTCGTCGGAGAGAGAGCCATCCTCCCAACGCAAGCGCTTGGACATGCCGACGGAGAGGTGGCCGGGGAAGAACGAGGCGGCGTCGGGGGATAGAGTGGGGCGACCAGGTGACGCCAACAGCCCAGAGCTGGTGGTCGTGGATGCGCCTAGCCCGGCCCCACCCTTCCGAGACGACGGCGACGATAGCAAGGGATGCGCGACGGCGGGCACGCAGGTAGCCACGAAAACCCGCATCGGCAACTGTGGCAGTCGCAGGTCCACCCGCTCCAAGCGAAGACCGCTCGGATGGCAGAAGCTGTTGGCCGCCCGCCGGAGAGGAGGCGCCACCACAACCGCAGCCAAGACCGGAGGCAAAAGCGGAGCTGCCCATGCGGCAGGGTGGGGCAGCTGCCCCACCTACAGCCGGAGTAGCACCACTACTAGACCCCATGTCTTCCTCCCTTCCGGCTAGGCAGCCAACGGAGCGGCGCGAATGGCGTCTACCGCGACGGCCGACGAGGGATGAGAGTTGCAGCCAGTCGCCCAGCCACAATGAAAAACGGCCCAATAAGCCCAGCCTGGCAACCAGCCCAAGTGGAAGTGTGTGTCCCCAACCCCAAATCCCTAATTCCCAATCGGCAATCGTCCCGGCTCGATGGCTCCTCCATTCGCGCCGCTCCGCTCGGCGCTCGCTCACGTAGTCACGCTGCGCCGCTCGGCGCTCGGTCGCTCGCTGCAGCCGCCCAGTGCCCGCCCGCCCCGGCCCCTGGCTGACTGGCCCCGAGCCCCGAGGTGCGCCGCGCCGCCGCTCCCGGCCTCCCGCTCGGCACCGGGGAGGCTGCTCTGATGGAGGAGGAGCTCTAGGAGGATTTGGCCGGCGAGCAGACGACAGGCGCAGGCCACGGGCGTGGCGGTGGCTAGGGAGAAGCTGAAGGAGAGCGAGAGGGAGGAGCAGGCCGAGGTCGAGGCCAAGGAGCAGGTGCCCCCAACACCAACGGTCATGCATCTTCTGCAATTGGAAAGAAAAAACTTGTGACAAGAGGTACAATTGTGAATTTGAGATTTAGGCATTTAGCAATTTATTTGAGATGTGATAATTGAGATTTTGCTTGTTGTATATGTGTAGATTTGAAGTCTTTTTTTCCAAGTATGAGTGTTGGTTCTGGATCCCGCCCAAGTACCCATGAAAGTCAAATTGGTGTGGCTGTGGAATCTGAAGAAATACATCAAGAACTAGTTGTAGTTTCTCAAGTTGAATTAACTGTTGTTAGGCTAGAACAAGCACAAGCCCAAACAGAGCAAGCACAAACACAGGATGAAGAAAAAAGTGCAAGTACTGATCTCATTAGGGAATTTGATGCAAATCTTCATGTTATTGCTGATCCTGGATGTTGAATAGCAATTGATAGATTTCACCCCGACATTAGAGATGAGGTTAAGAGGGCTTAGAGGACAAGGATATGATGGAGCCTCAAATATGAGAGGATAATTCAATGGGCTACAAAAGCAAATTCGTGATGATTTTGGAAGGCTTGTCATGATTTTGGAAGTTTGGCCATACAGATGGTTAAAAGTGAAAGAGACATCACTTTTCCATTGGTCTATCGCCTCATCAAGCTAGCATTGCTTCTACCTGTTGCAATTGCCACTGTTGAAAGAGCCTTCTTGGCTATGAATATAATCAAGACAAATTTGTGCAATAGGATGTCCGATGAATGGCTTAATGACTTGATACTCTGTTACATTGAGAAGGAGATTTTTAGAGGCCTTGATGGAGATGAAATCAGGAAGACATTTCAAGCCATCAAAAATTGGGCTATTGACTTGCCTAGGCCACTAAGAAGACCTAGACACGATCAGTTCTTTAATAGTAGGCTAGTGGTGTAGTGGTATGTCTCCTCATAACTTTATTATTGCATTATAATTCATATATTACACATTGTCACTAACTGATTTTCTCTTCAAATTTACAGGTTTCTTAGCTCTTGGAATGTTGGATTTTGGTCTTTAATTTGGACACTTATTCTTGTTCGGTTGGTCTTTGTCGAATTAACGGACTACTATCTTCAAATTAGAGGTACCATCATCAATCGCTAAAAAGTTGTGTCTGCGATGCGCCCCACCTAAATTTTTGTTCGAGCTCCGCCGCTGACCGGAGGCAGGAGACCCACCAGTCGATAGATTAGCACGAGAAGGGAACGAATCCGAAGCTAAAGGAAGGCTTTGAGTGGGATTGAGGGAAGATTGTGGTGGATTTAGGGGATTTTGTGGAGGGGACGGGCGAGCACCCGAGGGGAGCGGGTGGGGCTCCAACAGCTCCATCTAGGGGCTTGCCGATTTTGTTCCTACCATGATTAAGAATTTAACCATGATGAAATCAGTTGAGGACGACGAGTTGGTAAAGGTAACAGAATAGGGCTAGTGTAATCTAATCGGGCCGGAGAATGGGTACCGGAGTCGGCTCCGACGACAAGAAGCGCGGCGTGGCACTCCTGACACCTGGTTCGGAGCGGAGACGGGTCCACCACGCCGCCCTTGCCACCGGTCGGACGCTTCATCTCGCCGGGTAGACGCTCTTGACTAGCAAGAATCCTCGCTGAACCGTCACATCGTCGCGTTTCGTGGACTCCGAAGCTGCTTTGTATCAGCTATTCTCGCCACGAGTGGAGTCGACTCGGAGGAAGAAGGTGACGGGCGGGGAGGACGACCAGGACTCCATCAGGAGGAACCCGAGGAAGACGCGGACGGATACGCACGGCGCCGCAAATAGCATCATTCCATGACATGTGGGACCCATATCGGAATGAGTGTCCAGGCCCACGTGCCGGTGGGTTCGAGGACGGTACCATCCTCATGCCTTCTCTCTTATGGGCGTGATTGGTTGCAGCGCGAGCCATGAGCCAGGATGGTCAGACTGTGCAGGACCGAAGAAGTCGGGTTGAGCTCGTGCAAGTGGTCGTGTTAGGTTGTCTTGGCTGTTGGTTCAGTACGAGACGGGGTTGTGTTTAGTTGTATGTATGCATTAGTTTTTTTAGATGTCTGACGCATGAGTCTCTACATCCTAGATGAATCAAGTCATCCTACTCCTACACCATGAGGGAAGAAGAAATTACGAGATAGAAGAGGAAATCTACGTGGGAGGAAAAAGAAAAAAAAATACGAGTAAAGCAACCGAACACAAATAAATACACCTAACGACGCAGGATGGGCAAATCACGATCCGGTTCGGACAACCAATCACGACCTGTAAGGACGTCTCTGGTAAGGTTTTCTCTCTCTCCGTCTCTCGCTTCGCCAACGCCGGCGAGAGCTAGGGTTTCGTGCGCCACCGCCACTTCCGCCCGCCATGGCCGAGACCCCCACGTATCAGATCCTGGTGCGTCTCCTCGACGGGCGCACTAGATGTCTCAGCTTCTCCACGCCCACCGTTTCCGGCGCCGTGCTCCTCGACGCCGTCGCGTCGATCTCTCGCGTCCCCGCCGCCGCCCTCCGCCTCGTCACCGGCCGCATCGACGTCTCGCCGTACAACGTCCTCACCTCAGCCGCTGATGGCCAGTTCCCCTCCACGTCCGCGCTCCTCCGCCTTCGAGGAGGCAAGGGCGGGTTCGGCTCCCTCCTCAGAGGGGCCGCCTCCAAGGCGGGGCAGAAGAAGACCAGCAACTTTGACGCCTGCCGCGACATCAACGGTCGCCGCCTCCGCCACGTCAACGCCGAGCGCCGCCTCGAGGAATGGAAGGCCGAGGCCGCCGACCGCCAGCTAGAAAAGCTCGCCGAGAACTTCATCAAGAAGAAGGCCAAGGAGGCGGGCCGCGGCGGCGGACCCTCAGCTGCTGAGGTGGACAAGTACCTGGAGAAGTACCGCAAGGATGCTGAGATCTGCGTCAACGCGGTTGAGGAGTCCGTGCGTGCATCTCTTGGAAAGAGGAAGACCGCGCCTAAGCCGCCCTCTGGCGCAGACTCTAAGAAGCTTAAGAATTGGTGAGTACCGTCCGATCTTTTAACATGTTGGTTCAATTACTGATCATGGAAATCAATTAGTTCCTATGAAACTTTCATATGCTCGTCAATTCCTAGAATCACTTAAAGTCTATCTTAAGTTTGACTAACTTTATACTAGGAAAGAGTAATATCATCTGTGCCACCAAATAAGTGCAGTATGGAAATATATTTCGTGGAGTATCTATCTATTGATACTAATTTGGTGTCATAGATATTGGTGCTCTTTTCTATAAATTTGGTTAAACTTAAAATAGTTTGACTTAGGACAACTCTAGAAGTTGATTTATTTTGGGATGAGGGAGTATTTAAGATGGGAAGTTTCATGTCCTTATTTTCAAGATGTGGCAGTCTTGGAAACTGGAGATGAAACATCCTCTGTTATTGCACAGTTTCATTTTAGTGTTTCATAGGCTAGCTGCAGCATTTAATTATTCCATGTTGCAATCAAATGTGCCTTGTGAACTATATAGCCATTTAATATTGTTCTAAGTATTAACATATTATTAGGACATGGTCATATTGGCAAATAAATATGGTTTATCATATGTGGCCATCTCTTATATTTGAAGTTTCACATTGGCAAATAAACATTGTAAGCGAAGGAGAGAGCGCGAGGAGTAGCCGTAGCTGGCCACACTGGATCGGGTGAAATGAAACAAAGCTGCTCAGTGTGGGTTTCTTCCGCTTTCTAATGCATGGGAAACAGCGCTGGCTTGTTTTATCTCCACGAAACTCTCATCCTCTCTCTAACACTCACAAATTTTGGTGAGTAATGTGGGCATGTAAGAGGCATTTCATGTTTGATTTTCTCAAGTCAACATGTCAATTTTGATAGTTTTTCTGGTATGGCCCAAAGTTTGTCGATCTAAAGAACTTGGGGGCCTGGGAATTGCGGACCTAAAATCCCTAGGTTTTGCACTCAGAGCTAGGTGGCCATGGCTGAGAAAATCTGAACCAAGTAAACCTTGGGCAAGTCTGCCATTTCAAGTGAGCAAGGAGGTGGATGGCCTCATCTCTATGGCAGTGTATACCGATGTAGGAAACGGAGCTACCACTCTGTTCTGGAAGGATAGATGGCTGGAGGGGAAAAATATTGAGGAAGTAGCGCCTAAGATCCTTAGTTTGGTCTCTAAAAGAATAATAGGCAGGCGTACAGTAGCGGAGGCCTTGACTGATGAGAAATGGATCGATGACATCCGAGTGGGAGTACCTGTGGAAGCTCTGATGGAATATCTGGAATTGTGGGATAAATTATCTAATATTGAGCTGCAGGATGGGGCACAGGACAGACACATTTGGAGGCTTTCGGCTTCAGGAAAATACACAGCGAAGTCTGCCTATGATGTATTTTTTCAGGGCGCCATATACTTCAGGCCATATGAGAGAATATGGAAGTCATGGGCTCCTCCCAAATGCCGCTTTTTCATGTGGCTGGTGGCTCATAAACGGTGCTGGACAGCTGACAGGCTTGCTCGGAGAGGACTTCCTCACCCGGCCAAATGTCTACTCTGTGACCAAGAACAAGAAAACATTGATCACCTCCTAGTTGGTTGTGTGTTTGCCAGACAATTCTGGTTTGCCCTCTTGCAGCGCTTCGGACTCTCTTCACTCACGCCTCAACCCGAGGATTCAGCTTGGGAGGATTGGTGGGAGAAGGCAGAGGCGGCCACCACTGGAGATGTGAGAAAAGGATTAAACTCCATTATCATCCTTGGAGCCTGGAGCATCTGGAAGCACCGGAATGACTGTGTCTTCAATGGGGTGGCACCTAACATTAACACAGCCCTTAGTATAGCTAGGGATCATGCCCATTGGTGGTGTTTGGCAGGAGCCAAGGGTCTGTCCTTGCTCACTGCTAGGGGTGCTTAGTTAGTTAGCATGCTTGGTCGCTGTACTCTCAGACTCAGGTGATGTAGCTTTAGAAATCAGGGAAGGTGTGGGGGTGAGTGTTTTTGGGTCTATGTATGACTCCTTATTCTTCTACTAATACAAATGATACGCAGCTCTCCTGCGTGTTCGAGAAAAAAAAATAGTTTTTCTGGTAAGCCGCAAATTTAAGTTACTTGTGGGATGATTGGGGTTGGGGTAAAAAAAAGTTCTGTGCAAGTCTGTTTTTTTGTTTTTAGGTAGTTAACTAAATCAAATATATCCCTTCACAATGGCTTAATGTTTGCTATTCTAGTTTGTGTTGTGAGGTGTCTGAATTATTTCGATTATGCAGGTTGGGAAAGAACAAAGTAGAAGAAGATGAAAGTGATAGTGATAGTGACAGTGATGTGGATGATGAGGACAGTGAAGATGATGAGAGCGCAGATGCAAAATCTGTAGTAGTTGATGACGGGAATTGCTCAAATGGATCCAGCAAAAATGAGGAGGAGAAGCTTGATATGGGTTCTGTATCTGGGTCACATTCAGAAGGAGAGTCCTCAGGGGGAAAGTCCCAGCACAGCAATTCAGAGGAAAATGTAAAATGTGTCCAGTCAACTGTGGAACTGACAACAAGATCAGGAGCTGAAGGTGGTGACTTTGAATCTGATGGTAGTGCGGAGCCTGAGGTAGGAATGGTGGATCATCCCATTTCTGTGAACAGTGCCGTTGCTGCTGCTTCAGAAGAAGTGAAAGCAGATGAGGATAACACTACTTCAGCTACTTCATACCAAAACAATACAGAGGTGCCACAAGTTGAAGAAGCACTGAAAGCAGATGAGGATAACACTGCTTCAGCTACTTCAAACAAAAACAATCCAGTGGTGCCACAAGTAGAAGAATATGCTGATGCCAGCAAATCTTATTCAGAGCCATTGGACCTTGCAAAGTACAGTTCAGCTGCAGAATTGGAGGTATGTTTTTTTTTCATGCCAGGTTCTTGTTTGTTATTGTGGTTACATGGTAGTCAGCTCTAGAAATGGATTTTCCTGAGTAATGACTTTGTCAGAAATTAGAAGTATACATATACTTTCGAGGATATTCGCTTAGCTCTCCAATAGTTCAATACTCTGATAAACACTTGGTTATCTCTTTCTGCCAATTCTGTTCCATTTTGATATTCATTTGAAGTGGCATATGGGATTGGCTTGGAAATTAATGGGTAATCAGCTTATGAGAGGTCCATACATGCTAAGTGTAATGTGCAACAATGATAATGCGCATTCAAACACACTATCAGCACACTGTCGGTCCCCATGCTTCATTCTGTTTTCTTTATACACACTTGTAAAACTGTTTGATTTGTATTTTGGTAATATGTCCGTATCCTACTTGGCTGTTTGAGCACAGTTCACTGGATTTCTGTTTCCTTTCTTCCTTTTTCCATATGAACTCTATCCACAGAAGGGTCTGGGTTTTTTTATTGATTTTTTCTTCCTTTTATTATATAATTAAGACAAATAAGGGTCTGGGTATTTGTTTGATCATTGTTTTCCTTCTCTGTTTGAACTTAAAGTATATATCAAAAACTTTGCTTTCTGATGTTCTGATCTCAATGTTTGTTTCTCACATTGCTAACCTCTTCGGTTCTGTTGTTGCCTTATAGGTGCTTGGTCTGGAGAAGCTAAAAATAGAGCTGCAATCTCGTGGATTAAAATGTGGTGGAACTTTACAGGAGCGAGCTGCCCGACTCTTCCTTCTGAAGACAACTCCATTGGATAAGTTACCAAAGAAGCTGCTCGCAAAGGCCACTACTGGGGAGAAGTGAGAAGCTGTAGCAACATATAAACAAGTACTAAAGGTGCAATGCTTAAGTTTTTTCTTTGGCAATGTATGGAAATCTGTAGTGGTGTAATCATGTGTTATAAGCCCTTGGTTTGGCATTGACAATGAGATGTCTGTATGTACGTATATGTTAACCGTTACTTGGAAGGCCTAAGTTTGGACTAGGATTTGTGATGCCTTAAACTTTTCCCAAAAAAAAAAAAAGGGTGCGGGAAATTGAATGAAGTTCGCCATTCCGTTGCCTGGTATAAACAATTGCACCTGTTGAGCCCCTAGGATTGGTTAGCAATTCAGATTGTCGATGATTTAGGTACGATTTCAGAACAGCCTTGAAGATTGTATAACAGGTGTTCTGTTCTGAAGAGGCATATGCTTGAGCGCGCTGCACACTAAAGCTCTTGTATGGTTGTCTCATAGAACAGGGCTTAGAAATTAGCAGTGGAGCCACTACAGGTTAACTGAACTACTCCCTCCATCCTAAATTGTAAGTCATTCTATAAATCTTGGAGAGTAAAAAGCTTCTCAAATTTGATCAAAATTATAAAAAAAATTACAAAGATTTATGACATCAAATAGGTATACTATAAAAATATAATTAACAAAGAATCTGTTGGTATTTAGTTGGTATCATAAATGTTATTATCTTATTATATAAACTTGGTCAAACTTGAGATGCTTTGACTCTCCAAAATTCTTGGAATAACTTACAATTTGGGATAGAGGGAGTACATCTTAAAAATGAAAGAAAAAGATTCACTCGGATTAGCGGTGTAAAATGAAAGAAAAAGATTCACTCGGATTAGCGGTGTTTGGACCACTTTGGATTATTATAATATGGATTATAAATTATGATCACAGTAATCTAGATTGTGGATTATAATAATCTAATTTGTTTGGAACCTTGGATTTTAGGTGTAGGATTATTGTTTGCACTATAATCTCCTATTAGTAAGCTGGAGGTGGATTATAGGATTACTACAAGCCACTGGTTGGATTTTTATAATCTATATCTCATAATTAAAGTGTTTATATTAGTTAGAGATTGTTTTTAGTAGTTATCATAATCCAAGGTGATCCAAACATATCCGAGCATGGACGTTCTACCCGTTTCCCTCTATTTTCTCTAACTTGTTTGAAAAAGGGTCTTACATTGGATATAAGGCAAGGGTCACGTTGTCCTCTTAATTTAGTGTTCTGTCATCCTAATCCGCTTGAGGTAAATGTCGCTCATTCTTTTCAAAGAAACTTTTGTTGTTTGTATCACTAATCAGTGAGCTTAGCTTAAAGTTCCTTTTGGTTGGGTGGTTGGATAATGCAAACTAGGCTATAAGCTGGATCAGCTAGAGCCAAATAGGGCCTCAGACCCTTTCACCAAACAATCTCCACGTGTTCCATGAAAAGAAAAACAGATGGTCGCATATTCCAAGAATCTCTTTATATATCTTTGTATTGGTAGGAATGGCGATTTTAATGAAAAAATTTCCTTGTAACAACATTTTCAACTAGATGTCTAAATATTTTCATCCTCTATTTCTAGTTTCTCACTCGCCCAAGATAAAGAGCGAAGTTAGTTCTCTAAAGTGTTGAATATAGCAAATTTATTGGAGGATGGAGAGATCGAAAACATTTATTATTAGAATTCGCGATGACTCCAAATAATGACTTAGAAAATGGATTTAAAAAAGACCGACGCTCTAAGTTCAATGTGTCAACACATAAGTGTCATGATGTTTAGGATCGGGGAATAATGATTGTCCCAGTAAACCAAGGACTTCAAATAGTCTATTTATGTAATTTTTTTCTCAAAACAAAAAACCATGTTACATCATGTTTTCAATGTCCTATGGACAAGTGAGGAACAAGCCCTCTATAATAATAGTTTTTTATTTAAATACACGGACGGTCTGGACATGTCATCATGCATAATTTTGGTCTACTAACTCCTAAAATATATTTCTGGAATACATTTCTTCCTCAGTGATGCGCAACAAGTCCATACCTCTCAATGTCGGCTTTACCGTTGATTTGGCACGCTGATTGGACTTTAACATGCCATCTTCCTTTCTTTATTCCTCCTCCCTAGCTAGGGCATTTTGTCAAGCATGTTGTAGGCGAGCATTCTCATCTGGTTTTGACACCATCTGCCAAATCTCCTCCATGCTCATTGCCAACAATTCATCATGCCGAGCACCATGAAGCCATCCTCAACTAAATCTCAAGTGTGGGCAACGGCCCAAGGGTCGCACAGGTTGTTGTGACCAACAACCATGGAGGACTAACAACGACGCAACAAGCCATAGTGAGTAGGGGACACAACAACCAACAATGTGGGGGATGGAGGCTTGATCCTCTTTGTGGTGGGGTGCCTTCCCTCCTCCACTCAACACAATGGCATGGTCAAAAGACAGACACGGGTGGCTTTGGCGGGATATGAGGCAGCATGCACTACAACAAGGTCAAGCGAGGGTCTCATCGTGGCATATAGTGGCTGCTCAGCGGCTGCAAGCTAGCGAGCATCGCCACTAGTGCATAACAATGGCGCCGCGACGAGGCCATGGGTTGAATAGTGCTATGAATACCTGGAACATGACCTCCACGCCCATTGAGCATGTTGCCTTGGAGCAAGTACTCCAACGCTAGCACACACCCATTAGGCTCATCAAAGTACCAAGGAGGCAAACAATGTGTGGGTGGTGAAGGATGATGAGCTGTTGACGGAATGCTTGGTAATCCCTATTGTAGTGGATCTTAAGGACATCAAGTCCTGAGGGGGATTGCTAAGGGAGGTTTAGCATGTTGAACCTGCTATGGTTGGCCACCATGGACGAGATCCCGCAGTCCCAACTATGTTGATCTCCACCTCCACCCACATGAGCTGTCAACCCGCACCCTTTCCATAGTACTAAAATTAAAGTGGGTGCAAGATCAACATTGAACACCAAAGGTAGCTAGAGTTGATTAAGAGTGTTTGCGTTGAAATTAATTATCAAAAGCGAAAAGCATGGTGTCGGGTTCATAAACCCGGGGTCCCTCGGGGACCGGTTTTCACGCCAGGGCTCGGCCCAAGAAAACAGCATGTAGTTCATGGGCTGGCCCAAGAGTCTAAAACACAACGGGCCGGAAGGACAGTCCGGTCGCCGACCGGAAGGTCTACCCAAAGGAACAAACACCCGCTCGTCAACTTCTTCGGCCCACCTCTCCGACTGGAGCACTCGCTTCGGACGCCAGCCGCCTCCGGGCGGTCTCTCTGATCGGAAGGCCTGGCTCAAAACGCTGCTTCCTACTCCGACCCCGCGTCTCCGCCCGAGGACCCCATAGGAAGCCTGCTTACCGCTCTTCTCCAACTGGCGCGGCTAGGGCTGACTAGGGGCCATCCGACCGGGGACCCCGTAGGAAGCCTGCTTACCGCTCTTCTCCAACTGGCGCGGCCAGGGCCGACTGGGGCCATCCGATCAGGGACGCCCGTCCGGAAGGGACCAGGGGCGAACGGAGAAGGCAACGCACAAGTCAAACCATGATACCTAGACCATACCCTATACGCCTGCGGGAATAGTGCTCCACAACCGCCCGGACACAAACAGTATTGTAGGCGCCGTTGGACTCCCGTACGGTGGAAAGCCCCCCACATGCCTCTGGGCATTGATAGTACTGTGGGCGCTAGGATTCACCATACCGGGTACACATGGTAGGGCTCCTCACATACCAATAGTATTTTGCAGGTACTGACATCTACCCTTCCCGAAGAAGACATCACAACCTCCCATGTGCACCTGACGTTCTACTGTGACATCAACAGTATTGTGGCCGCCTACCATCATCACTGTCCTCATTGACGTGGGCAACAAGGCTTAGTAGCATCCGCACTCTCTCCCTCTCACCTGTAAAGCCATCCCCTTCATCTATAAAAGGGGATGCGCTCCCTCCAACAAGAAGGTCGACTTCTTCAAGTTGAGATTCACTAGATCGATAGCTCACAACCCTTCAAGCACACGCTTAAACACCTAGCTCATAGCGGAGCCCCGATCGCTCTCGGCCCTTCCGGTCGGACCCGACCAGGCCTCTCATACACCCCACCTTTCTCCTTCTCGTTTGTAACCCCACTACAGACTTCGAGCACCTGGGCTCAGGAATAAAGTCATCGACCAACCCACACTGGACATAGGGCACATTGCCTGAACCAGTATAAATCCTATGTCATTGAGTGCTAGGCCACCTTCGATCATAACGTACAGCAAAACTACAAATATTCACTAGTTGGTCACTTTCTGTATCGATAGTTGGCGCCGTCCGTGGGGAAGACGCTGTACGTTCAACACTTTTTGGTCATCGGATGACCCATCTTTTCACCACCCCCGCCGTCGCGGGCTCGGGTGATATGATTCGCTTCGGCTCGCTGGAGTATCCCGCACTCTCGCCTGCGGGGATGCGGGTTCCACCCGTTTTCGAGCCATTCCAGGCCTTCCTCTTCGGAGGCCTGGACTTCGTCGCCGACCGGCTCGGCGTACTCCACCTCCACGAGGAGACTCGCGACCCGACACCCGTCGGAGAGACGTCCTCCATTGACTCTGGGACGCGCGACCTCAACGGCGTGACATCTGCGCTTCATTCCGAGCAAACTCTCTGCTCAAACCCCGCTGTGAGTAATATACATGCCGTTCTTTACTTACTACATTCTATCTTCCGCCAAATACCCGGAGGGCTGCCGTTGTCCCCGTCGCGGCCACCGTACGACTGGTTCCCCTATAGCCTCATGTCTCCTGTGGACGTGTATGCCCGGGGGCTCCAAAAGATTATGGCGCCGCCTCCTCTCACGTCTGAGTTCATGGGGATGGTGAGCTACGCTCCCACTTGTTTCCTCGACATCATGGACGACGATGTCGAGAGTGACGGCTCCAGCATCGGCGATGTGGCACCCAGCCACCATCCGTCCTGGGAGTGCGCTATGACAGACGCTCCGGAACAGCTGTCAGGGGCAACGGAGTC